AATGCATCAGGTTTATTATGTGCGCGTCTTACGAGTCTGCCTTAAAAGAATAGCTGAGAACGTTTCCTCTGTAATGGATACCTACGTGTGCTTTTTTCCATTCTACATCCTCTAACCTCGTAAATTTTTCTTCGTTTTGCATTAGCTTTACCGTTAAGACACGGCCCGATATTCATCGTTATTACGACGACGCGAAAGAAATTTTTAAAAATCTTTACCATCCGTCTATAAATTTGTTTCCAGCCAGACAAATATCCAATCCGCTCTCTTCCGAATGAACCTGTAAACATCGCTCCTGACAATACTAAACTGCAATTTAGAAATGTGCTTCTCTTAATCGCGAAGTCGAGTCGCTGGATCATAAGCCAAGAGCTTGTCAATCGGTAATTCATCGCAAAAGATCCCGATCACAATGAGGCTCCTCGCGGTACGAGTAGAGGAGTAGCGGAAGCGCGCATTAAATTGGCAATTAAAAAGAAGAAGAGGAAAAGAATTCGAAAAGAGGAGAGAGGGGTGACAACGATAGGTGGGAAGGAAGCATGGGTGAAGTAAAAAGGAGGTAGGGAGGAGGGGTAGCGAGGGGGGTGTGACTGGAATAGACGAGAACTTCCGAAAAAAGTACGGCCTATCGGGAACTTTGGGAACGAAGGGGGGAAGTGAATTGTGTGGGCACGGAAGCCGTGACGATCCGTGAGGACACGCGTGCATACAACAAAAGAGGCGGAATCAGGCTCCGCGGCGCCGCTGCGTGGCAACCGAGCGTTAAACGGAACGGACGCGCGCGCAACTCGTTTGTGACTTTTCCTTTACGGGAAATAGGCCCCTCTCCTCTTACTTACTCGGACGACCGATGATTGACATTAGAGATGCTTTCGCCAAAGGCGATTCTCTCGCCGAGGAAGAACGAGAGGGGGGGGGGCGGAGAGAGAGAGAGAGAGAGTCAATCGTACCAAACGAAATTATTCATTTTTTTTGCATAGACAAATTGTGGCAATTGTTCTGATCGGTCGCCTCGCCCTATGTTATCATAAGTAAACATTAATAATTCAATGGGATGAAAAATGGATAACATAGCACTTTTTCTTTATTAACTTTTTCCCTTTATTATTATGCAATATTTTACTATTTTAATTTTACTTTGACCGCCGGGATTCACATCCCAATTGCAAATCGGTTTAGTGTGGTCGAAATTAAAACCCATTTTCCATTTTATATAACTTTAAAATTTGAATGATGAATTATTAATATCACGAAGGAAATTCGACGGTGAAAATAGATCGAACAATGAAAAGCATTGAAAATTAAATCGCGCTTTACTTTCTACCAATTGTTCCCTTAAACGAAATTTTCGCTAATTGTATGGTGGTAAGCATTTATCGCCTATCTACATTACATATGCAATTCTTACGAATACTATCTGCATTAAGTACGTAAAAAATTTAAATAATTTATAATTAATTTATCGTGACTTTTTTAATTTAACGTCATTAAAAAATAAACGATACATCAGCCACGTCAATCACAAGGAGATATTAAATTTACAAATACGGGACTAAATATGACATTTACTAAGGATTGAAAATCCAAAGGTATTATTTCACAGAAATGATGTAAAACAATTTATTTTACAAAAACATATATATATATTAAAGTTCTGTAAAAGAAAATGTTCTCACTCTGACAAAATTTTTACTGCACAATCTATTCTACACTTTGCCCGCTATTCCTTGGAAATTTCTTTAAAAAGAATAAAAATAACTGTTGTTTTACAAGCTTTACTCTGATAAGATAAATTTTAGAACTACAAATTTACACCGTCAAGCAAATATTATACAGATACATTAAGATTATTTTAATTACACAGAAAAAAATAAAAGATATAAGTTTGCCTTTAAAGATACGCGATGTTTTTGTTAAATAAAATAAACAAACAAACAAATTTCGGTCAAATAAAGTAAAATAAACGAAATTTTCTCATGATTTTGCGCATCGCGGGATTAGAAATTTAATGTAATTTAGTTAGATTTAAACAGTAATAATTTCTGGAATACTGCGTCAGCATCCACTACTCTTTTCTAAATGACTCGACATTCGATTAAGTATGAAATTTGTTTTATATGGAAGCAGCTATTTTCCTAATGGAAACATATTTATCCATGTAGAAAATATAAAATGATTTATGAGGCGAATAATTTAGTCGAGCGTGTTTTCTTTTTCAATAAAACGAATAAAAGAAAAAACGAGAATTTTTATTCGCTGTTAGCGGATAAAAAGGAAGCAAGTCGTTAACTTAAAATAGAAAGAGATCTCTTGGCTGAAACAAAATTTGCTTATGATGAGTAAGTAGTTTTCTCAATGACGAGTGCTGAAAATTAAATCAGTGGATCGGTCACTGTCCCACTGTCTGCCTATTAGCGCTCCCTACTCAATCAATAGTCATTAACTGACGAGTAGAGTCGATTTTTTTCTGTTCGCGACTGGAAAATTGTGTTCTTTCACGCGAGCGAGACACCTTCCCATACCTGGCAACATTATCCTTATCCAAAATGAAAGGAAACTCTGTTGGAGAGACAGGAGAATGGAAAAATCGTCATTTTGCAAAGCATCAATGTTCCTTTGTAGCCGCAGAGTCCGCTGAGTATTCCGCCATCGGATAAACACAAAAAAATCTTAGAAATCGCCAACAATGGGATATTTTCTTTCGCGCAAGGACACGATTCTCAGGCTACATCGTAAAACTCCTCCTGATTGTATGGCTTTGTGGAAGGGGGAGGGGGAGAGAGGGAGAGGGTGAGAGGGCAACAGCCAAAGCGACTACACTTTCTTCCAACATTTCACGCAACTTTAGATCGATGGATAAGAAGCAGCCGGGATTGCGCGTCGAAGAGGCGCTGCGGGCTGTTAGAATAAGCGAACAGGGATTAAGTACGATAGCGTAATCGAGCACCAAGTGCGTAGGATGTGCTATTTTTAAAGCCGTAATTCGCGTTACGATAAGCAGAGGTTTTTTTTTTCGATAATGATCCATGGCTATAGAATGCTAATCGATGCAAACGCTTCCACGACTCGACGGCCGAGAAGTCGCGGGCACACAGTCATATGACTCTTTTTGTCGTCTTCTTGGAATGGACGCTTAAGCAGAAAGTCAAGCGCAATTAATTGGCGGACACGCTCATTTTATCACTAACCATCCACCTATCTATTGTGTCATGATACGTACGTTTTACTAGCGCCGCTTTTTCGTTAGCTCCTTCGTTTTCATTTGCTTCCTTTTTCCTCCTCTTTGTCCTTTAAACACAACTTCGTTCCTAATGAGAACGCGATTTGTCAATGTGAAAAAATGTTCACGCGGCCACTCGAAGCCATTACAATAGATTTACAAGACGCGATTATAATTATTTTTAACAATTAGAGCAGCGTTAATAAATTTTTAAATTAAAAGGATCATTAATCAATAATAAGTATGACAACTAGAGTATAATATTCTTATTGTAAAACGAATTTTACGGAAGAGGGGGCATTCATTGGCTTTGGCCTGATTCACAATATATTCGCAATGAAAAGTGGCAAACGCCGTAGCGGCGGGCCGTTAAATTAGACTGATATGTTGTTGAACGAAATCGTTACGGTTAAATTTTTATTCGATTTTTACGAAAAGTTCGAAGAAATCGCGCTCGCAACTAACTGCGGCAGGAAAATCATTAGGCCGAAGAAAACGCAGCTCCGGATCTTAGCCGATGCATCGATAAGCGGCCGTAGCTGTTTGTTGCAATCTCGCTCGCGTTCATTCACGCGAGACAACAGCATTGGTGGAGGGGGGAGAGGGAGAGGGAGGGGGGGATCGCTAAAGCAAGATGTAATCCCACGAGCCTCTTAATAGCAGCATCGATACATATCGAATCGCTCGCCGATGCGCGGATCGCATGCGTGAAATATGACGTGCGGTCGCACGCGACGACAACAACGTCGACGACAGCTCCGTTGCCGGGAACTTTTTCACCTCGCGCCGGTTATTGCGGCGCCGCTCTACGTTCACACGCGTTATGCCAGGTTGAGCAGCACCCCAGCGCATTAGTATATAACGTAACTTCCCCCAGCGTGCGCGCGAGTCCCCGCAAAATCACCATAGCAGCAGCGAGGCTCCGATTAGCGACTAAATGTGCTTATATACTTGTAGCCCATCGTCATGGGAACAATATTGTGTGCTCGCTCGATAATTCCTCCGTTATATACCAATAGTCCTTGCTTTATGAGCTGACGCGTCAAGACGCTCGCTCGGCTTTGGATATCTTTTGGGTAATTACGCCGTTAAAGTGCTTCGCTGCCACGGTTCTGCGCATGGTATTTCATTTTCGTCGCTTTTTACGATGATACGCGGCCCAATGAGCAATTAGTTGAAGCGTTAAAGTAAGGGCTTCTTTTCCACTTTGGTTGGTTAAACGATTGATGGCCGGGACGATTGTGCGTTAATCGCGCATTGATAGCAAAAGAAGATTGCGGTACTTCGTTAAAATGTAGAAAACTCGGTTCTACGCAAGAAAGTCCCTCCTCTACCTACGCTGTCAGCAAACGGGCATCGCAAGCAGAACGACTGTATATTCCGCAAGCCGTATTATAGAAATAAATAATTAATTATAATGAGAATTGAAATATAATAATGAGAAGAAGATTGTATAATAAATTCAATTAAGGAAAAATGTCTATTGCGAAAATATTATAAATTCGCGCAGGACTTGAAACGAGGTTGTGCGTACCAGCGAAGCTGGTAAATATTAATCTCCTTCTCTGTCTACCCCAGCCCCGCCGGTCCCTCAATCAAAATCACAAGAACGGCGAAAAAAATCTGCGTCCATGTTACTTTTTATGAGGACAAGCGCGGGCGAAAGGCAGGTGCGAAATACGAACGACACACAAAGAGGATGTAAGAGGAAAAAAGGGCCGATAGGTTGGTCGATCTGGTTGGTGAGCAAAGAGAGAAATACAAGTGGCAAGGGACTTACCTTGCAGGGCTCCTTGCTCTTTGATCGGCAAAAACCGGGCATCTTGATGCCGCCAATGGGTATTTTCCTCTTGGGCTTGTGATCCTCGGCCTCGAGATCCGGTGCTGGGGCGGCGCCCGTGTGCTTCGTGTTCTCCGCGTTCAGCATCTTCTCTCTCTCCTCGTCCGCGATCTCCTTCTTATCCATGCTCTTATCTTGCTCTTGCGGCTGCTGCTGATCCGTCTGGCTCATCCTTCTCTCGTTCCTTTTTCACTCGGGCGCTCTAGTTTGCTGCTGCCGCCGCAATCGCTGCCGTTGCCGCTGTTCCTGCACTGCCGGCCGACCCTGAAATATTATCGGAAATAATCAACCGTTATTTATAACGCCAGAATGTAATCTCGTATCTCGGGACGTGGACGCATTTTCACGACAAAGTTACGGGCGACCGCACAGTGACGAGAAAATGCTGAGTAATTAGAGACGAGCCGACGAGTTACTCGGTGGGATTATATTGCCAAGGTTTGTCCTTTATTTCATACGTGTAAAATGTATATACTTTCATTATGCGCCTGGATCGTCTCGGATATTTACGGGACTTTACGGGATCTTTCGAAATCATAAAGCGAGGCTCTATCTTATGTTTGTTATCGGTGGTATTACGAGTTTTTGTACACGCATGCGACTATGATGATGGACGTTAATAATTATAATTTACAAATGAACGATGGAGAAACGGTTTTTCGAATAAACTGTAAAGAAGTAATTTGAATTAATGAAAATTTCTTTCATCCCAATGCAACCAATGCCCTCCGTATCTATTCTAAATTTTATCGCAGCATCTCGATTAAACTGTAATTAGAAAAACAAAAACAAAAACAAACAAAAAACCAAAGAAATTACAATTAAATTATTTACGTTCGACGATGATACACCGTCAACTGATAATTAGCATATATTTATGGCAACTGCGATGTACGATCGCGTGATAATAATAAAAAAAAATAATAATAATAACAAAACCAGAGTGCCGAGCAGCTGGAACAGCACGATTCAATCGTGTTACCGTATTTTGAATGTTTATAAAGAGCCATGACAAGACATTGATGCATCGATGCACATGATTGATTCATTTTATAGATGCTTTATTCATAAATAGATTTTCCCTTTGATCGGAGATTCGAATTGAATGGCTAGGATTTTTTCAAGACGACTCTATGACTTTAATGGTGGTAAAACGGTAAAATGATTATGATTTCATATTTCAAAAATGCCTTACAATAAAGAGATTATGAGTTAAGAAAAGGCATTATTTTAATAGATTTTAATAGAGCTATCTTCGTTCGTTGGGGCATTCCTTGTATGCGTAAAATATAACCTTCACTCTTCTCGTTCGAAACGAGTACGCGACTCACTGGAAAGCGAATATTATACTTTAAAACGAACTTCCTATCGGGTCAAAATGAAGCAGACTTTGAGTCCCTTATTTCTTCGCAGCATAATCCAGCATTGAGGTCAATACCGGTAGAAATGAAAGGCTGCGAACTCGACTGTAGACTCGCCGCGGCGCTCCACAGAGCGCACAACTCGACACCTTATATGCTGCTCCTAATCTATAATCCTTGAGTCCAGCGTATGTACAATCTCTCTCTCTCTCTCTCTCTCTCTCTCTCTCTCTCCCTCTCTCTCCCTCTCTCTTCCTTTTTCGAATCTTCTCCCATCATTTCATTTCTTCTTCATACAGCAACTGTACAGGATAAAGATAGAGAGATCGAAAGAGGAGGGTGAGAGATACGGCTTGAGAATCGGCGAGATGATGAGATGGAGGGGGAGGGAGGGAGGGAGGGAGGGAGGGAGTAAGAGAGGAAGAGAGAGAGAGAGAGAGAGAGAGAGAGCAATAGTCGAAACATCTGCCGCAGTTCAAAACGCGCCACAGTTTCGTATGCATACGTTTTCTCTTCTTCCTTCTTCTCCTTACACCTCCTTCGCCCCCCCCCCTCGCGCTCTTTTTCGATCCTGTTTCTTACGCCGATCCGAGCAGCGCCGCTATAAAGTCAAAAATAAGGAAACAAATCTTCCACGCTTCCTGCAGCTATGTTACTCGCATTTCTCTTGCTACCTCCCTCTTGTGCCATTTGGACATTTATATTCCTTGGTCTATGAATGCACTCGATACATCTTGGCTCGGCTCGTTTACAATATTTATTGTCGCACGAATAACTCACTACATCGTTTTCCCCTACCTACGGGCTATTTATCCACTCGGCTTACAACAAACACCACCTCCCTCGCTTATGCCCGCCGCGCATTCGTCTTTCCGGTTTTTCACACGTATCGGCTTGGCTCACTCAACTTCAGGAATTACGATTAATTTCTTTTTAAGCGACTTTGAGGGCTACCCACCCATGAGTCAGCGGCCTAGTGTGGGTGCCTTTATCAATACAAGTATGATTAATATTAGCTAATTCTAACGCCGCCGGCTTGATTGGTCTTAAGAAGTTGCTTGACGGGGGGGGGGGATTTGAATGGAGCCATATCTCAAGTTGTTCAGAAATTGTGCGTCGCCGAAATTTCCGGATGGTAGCACCGTTGCCCATCTTGCTCCATTTACCATACTTTCAATCGACTTTTCCATACTTTCGGATACAGCGATCGATTTATTTCCAAAGCTTTTGCACGACTATCGTCTATCTATTTGAAAGGTATCGAGAGAGGGAAAGAAATATTATTATTCGATTAATGTAAATACGCTTTAATGAGCTTTTTAGCCGTGAGCTAAAATTTTCGGCAACAGCAAGAGCACATCGAAATTGAATGGAACTGGAGAAATGATCGATTGAAACTGTGAAAAGCATTGGACAACGTTAAAATATCAAAGCCAATGTATTATAAGCACGATTTTTCCCGACTGCAAATTCCTTATTTATGAAACAAACTGTACCAAGGTACAAAATGCTTAGCTTACACATTACTCAGCGACTGACAAATGGACAAGGAATTCATTTATTTTATAAATAAACGGGACAGGAACACAGCGCGCGACGCGCTGAAGCTGCGTACGGCTGAGATTATTTTTCTACGACGAGTGCTAGAGAGGATGAACGTTAGCAAGCATTAAGGAGATCAAAAAGAGAAGATTCCCGGCGAGAGCAATTTCGTCCTGACTCACCGAGGGCCATTCAGAGTGAATTTGGGAGCCGCGTATTGTGTGTGGCGCGAGCATCGGCTTGCCAAGTGCTCAGAGTGCCTGGGAGGTGCCTAACTAAATAATCGCCCCGACATTCAAATCAGATTAATTACGTTCCTTTCTTTTCTTCTCCTATCGTGCAGCGGCCGACTGAATCATATGCTCCGCTCACTATGACGAAATCCGTGCGGTATCGAAACTGAAGAAAGAAAGCCCAGGCTAATGTTGCGCGACAAAAACGAAATATCACGGCGTGAAAAGATCGCGCGAACCACGCGCCATCGACACGATAAATCTTTAGTCTCGAGCAACTTTTTCCCGTGAAAAGTGACCTCTTTGTCAGAGCGTTTTCCCTCGAGTGGAGTAGCACGCGACAACCAGCTGGATGCCATGGAAAATCGCGGACAGATGCCAAGGGACAGGGTTCTGGTAACAATTGGAGCGCTAAACAGCCGCACGACGCCTTTCATTTGCTTTACCATACTCTCTCTCTCTCTCTCTCTCTCTCTCTCACTCACGCACACACACACACACACACACACGCGCGCGCGCGCGCGCGCTATTTCCATCTCTCTTTTCTTTCACTCAGGCATTGTTGGCCAACGATGGATTATTACCACGATGCCGTCCGGAAAATCCGACAACTTTTTTCCGACCCCCTGGATTCTGCCGTGTACGGAAGCTCGAAAACCCACATCCTACAACAGTACACACAACGTTCGCTTTGACTTTCTTGTTTCTCATCAGCATGTCGCGTTGAAAGCTTATGCATGCGTGTCTCCTTTGTGTGTGCGAGCACGTACGTACGTGCACGCGCGCGCGTTACGTTGTACAGAAGCGGAATAGTGCGCTGGCGATGACAGCTACGAAATGATTTTTTTGAAATACTTACACTTCAACGCATACGATCTATTAAATCACCCATGGGTCTTTTTGGAATAGTCCTAGGACTTTTCAATTACGTAACGATGAATCGATCTTATTCGATGGCATGTCAAATATCGAATGTAAAAGTGCATGCTGTTATTCCGACAGTTATAAAACATTTTCGATATAAATAATATCTTATAGCAGCAGCAGTTTATACTAGGAATTTTCAAGTAAAACGAAAAACAATTGTTTTCCTATATGAATAAAAATTATTTAAACATAAACCATCGATTCCTTCAACACCCTCTCTACCTCCTACCCGAATTGTCCATATAATTTGAATGTGATTATATTATCGAAATTAATAGGATTGAATAATTATATCATGCTAACGTTATCGGTTATTCGTAAGAAATTTATCCACGTACTAAAATATTTTAAGTGCATCTTTCTATGTATAAGGGAAAAATTGTTATCCGTCTCATATAAAACATATATTTGTTTTAACGGCTTTAGGCCCAAAGAGAAATTCAAATAATTCAATAGCATCGCAATGAGTGGGATGTTGGCGTTATTCAACGAACCCAACCGTACGAGTGATGAATCCCCACCCCCACCCCTCCTCTTCGGCGCACCTTATCATTTTTCACAAATACATTATTATTTCGCGTTTTAAGGCAACATTATAATAACCTAAGCACCAGACCAAAATAGCTACGAAGCCGGAGTCGTCTGTGACTCGGCGCCGCCAATCGGTCGCCAGGTTATAAGAAACGAGTCTAGGACGACCTCAACGCAGCTGCCCCTCGCGGAAGCTGAGACAAAAGTTACGCTAATGGACCATAGTTTCAGCCGCGGCAGCTCCGAGCAATTCGTAGATGATGGGCGGGCGTGAGTCCAAAGCCGCGAGGGGTCGAGGGACTATTTATTTGACCGCGGTGGCGTCGCCGCTGTTATTGGTGCTACCGACCTCGCGAGGAGAATTAGCGGTAAGGGCGTAAGCACTGCGTCATCCTCCCGGCCGCTCGAATCCGACCGATTTTATTTTCAGAACGGAAGGATAAGATTAAGGATTGACGGTGGGAAAACGTTTCGTTTTCCTTTTTTTTCCGAAACTGGTTAGTTTATTAGGGTGGCGATGCCTCCATAAAAAGATCGAGACTAACTCGGTCGTGCGCTCAATTTCAATTTTTCAACATTTCAAGAGTTCAACAGGAGGCACGTGACAGTGCTGGGAGGAGCGCAGGAACGTGGTCGGAAATTGTGAGGAGCAAGCAAGAAGAAGCGGCTTGCGCGCGCGCGTACTTATCCCTCGATTACGACGTGCGTTTGATTGCTCGTCCGAGCAAAGCTCACATCGCGCTGATTAATTCTACCCAATTTAAAGCACTTGGCAATGGGTTGCTCGAGGAATGTTGCAAAAAGTTGCGAGCACAGTCCATTAGCCGTTTATCCAATTGGCGAGACAAATTCCAGAATGACTGAACGTTATGCGGGCGATAGGAACAACGTGGGTCGTTTAAAAGTCCCAGGATCCAGACTCGTAGCAGGCAAAGGAAAATGCACGGATAATGCACCTTTCACTGAAGATCAATGCGGAGGAAGCATTTCGAATAACCAACCGGGTTAATTATTGGAAATATTTGGGAATTAATGGTGCGATCTTTAGATAGCGATCGAGGTGGCTGTGCGTATATTCGTTCGTCTATTCGTGGATCCGATGGGATAACGAAAAATGCGCGTGCTCGTCGCGTACAACGTCCCAAGCGAGAGACTACTTTGCAGGGACGTGTTGTTGAATTTGCCGACCCTGTGGCTGAAAAAAGCTGCGCCGCTCCTGGAGACGTAGCTCTATGCGCGTCGAGACAAAGGTCGGAAAATTCGCGTTTCCACGCGCGTAACCAGCGAAGACGAAAGTGAGGCGGGGAGTAGAGTAGGAGAGAGTAGGGAAGAGAGGCGGGCGGCAGTCAAGGCGCGCGGGCGATCGATCGGTTTACGTCTGGGCGTCGGGACGCCGGCGGCGTCTTGTCGTGTGCTCTCGAAGCCGCCACTTGTTCGCCTCCGCATTAATTAGCGTTCACGTCGTCGTCGGTATGGCGGCAGCGCGCTACCATCGAGGAGTAGTGTACCGTTACGTGCACCAGCTGCGCGCGAGCCTCGGACAAGTCGGTTCCATGGTCAGTCGAATGGGTTTGGGGAGCAGGAGAGAACCATCCCTCCTCTCTCCATCGAAGGACTTTTAATTCTACCTCGGTCCTAAATGCAAGTACCTCCTCTCGGTCCGCTCGCTCCCTCCCCCTCTGACAAGAAGCCGTAGCCGCGCGATGCCAGCGTCCTATTACAAAGGTCGTACCGAGGCCCCGAACCCCGAAGAGCAGGTATACAGAATAGCCACAAAGAGAGAAAGAGGCAGACAGAGACAGAGTGAGTGAGTGAGAGAACGAGAGAGAGAGAGAGAGAGAGTGTGTGTGTGTGTGTGTGTGTGTGTGTGTGTGCGTGCCTCTTTGAGAGAGAGACAGAGAAACAGAGAATGATGATCGTCGTTTTTGGAAAAAGGGAGTGATTTCCGCCGTCTTCTGCTTTCTCGTCTCTTTTACTCTCTCTCTCTCTCTCTCTCTCTCTCTCTCTCTCTCTCTCTCTCTCTCTGTGTATCTCTCTCTCTCTCTCTCTCTTTTTTCATGATGATCGTCGTTTTTGGAAAAAGGGAGTGATTTCCGCCGTCTTCTGCTTTCTCGTCTCTTTTACTCTCTCTCTCTCTCTCTCTCTCTCTCTCTCTCTCTCGCTCGCTCTCACTCTCTCTCTCACGCTCGCTCGCCTACTCACATCTTGTCGGTTGAGGGCGAAGGGGGGAAAAAGGAGACACACAAAGAGGATAGGTATAGAGAGCGGACTTGAGCTCGCATTCATAGGTATGGCCACGCTACAGTCCGGGGCTTTACGTGCGTGTACGGCGGTAGTCGGCACTTTATGCGTCCAGCGAGATTCCGACTCTTTTCCGAGAAGAAGGTGCGAGCTGGATTAACCGAGCCCGTGTCGTTCCAACAATATTTACTCAAATATTGACTTGGCCCGGTAAACCCGAGAGTTAAGGAGATGCGCATCGGAATAACCGACTTCGAGCGATCGCGGGACCGTTACCGACGCAATCGCTCAAATTCCTTCTTTTGTTTCTTCCCTACCACGTTCTTTACACGGCGTTCGAAGCGGGACTCGCGCTACAAGAACCCGAACTCTTTGAAAAACTGTATTCGGGTTTTAGCGCGCCAAACGACCAGTCGAACAACAAGGATCCATAGAAACCGCCGATGGTTACTCGCTACCCTTGTTCAAAAAGTTGTCTGGCGTAAACAAACAAGAGAGTCGCCTACTTTCCTGCGCCTAAGCTAGCAAATAACCGCCACCATATCCTCTCTCCCACCTCTGCCGCCACCCCTCCCTCTCACGCTCTATTTCTCCTCTTTGAAACAGTCCTTTGTGGACGGGGCGTCGAGATGCGACGGAACGAACGAAAAAAACAATGTAACGAGCGATACGGCCGAGCAGAGTGTCTCAGGTCTAACTAAAAAATACGTTACACTCCTCGAAAGAAACGCTTCTTCCATCATCATCACCGCAGCCGCCGCTGCCGCCAACACCACCACCACCACCACCACCACCACCACCACCACTACTACCATCACCACCATCATCATCATCAACACTACCATCACCAACACCACCACCATCACCACTACCACCACGACCATCGTCATCATCATGATCATCATCATCATCATCATCACCAGTAGCAGCAGCAGTAGCAGCAGCAGTAGAATCACCACCACAACCACCACCACCACCACCACCACCACCACAACTACCATCATCATCATCATCGCCACCGACTTTTCTTTCTCTTCCTTACTTTGCCACGAGTCGCATCATTCTCCCTTGAGCGACTACCCCCCCGTAAGGAAAAAGCCGCCAATCGCACACGGCCCATTACGCTTGTACGAGCGCCAAACTTACGGAACTTGTGACCCTCTCGTTCTCTTTGGCGAAGCGTCGTGGATGCTGCCGAGGAAGCGGGTCCGAATCCTCTCGTCCTCCTCGTCCTCGAACGACGCACTTTCACCAAACGTCCGAACGACAATAAAGCGAACGCGACACCAAGCGGAACAAAACGTACGTGCCAGCAGACCAACTAGTACAAAAGGTCCGTGGGCACTTGAAGAGGATTCGCGGGCCTCCTCCTGCTTTACGCTAGGCGGCTTTCACCGGATGAACGGCTGCTATGAGAAAGCGGCTCCGGCTGACTCTGCAGGTAGAGGCTGATTGCAACTGACTCAAGCTACGTCGTCCTCGTAAACGCACTCGCTCTCGAAACGCGACTGACCGGCGACCGGCGGCGCTCGATTTCGAATCTCCGAAGAGGAGCGACGCCAGCGCCAGTCGCGGGCATCACCGCGGGCGACATCTGCCGGGCTCGGGGTCAACTCGGTCTTGGTCGCTCGGCAGTCCAACGATACGAGGATCCTCGGAGTCTCGGAAGGGACGAGGTTGGGGGCGGATGACGCACACGTGCGCCACTCGAGTCTGTTGACTCTTGTCGTCTCATGCCGGCATCCGCGGGCGGAGATCTCCGAGACACCTCGACGTCCCTTGCTTGAGCGTCGCGTGACTGATCAGTCGACGGCCGAAGCGAACAAAGTCTTCAACTTCTCGGATCAAAGAGTATGTGCCCGTTTTTTCATTCGCAAGGGCATTGCCATCTAATTACCTATGAAAATGATGAAAAGTACTTAAGAGGACAAGGGGCGTAATTATCTATTTTCAATAGGTGGAGAAAATGAACGAGCAAATAGAAATTTCGTAGATTGAAAGATTAAAAATTCTTTTCTATATAAACGATTGGAGTGAATGGCGAAATTTTCACGATCTAATATAAAATTTATAAACAATTTTTGGGTAGTAAATGAAGTTGTTGGTTTTAAAAATGTATGTGAATTTGGAAAAAGACGTAATTGACTTGTCAAAGTAATTGATAAGATATATTTATATTAAGATATATACATATTTAGAATTAAAAATAACTGTAAATATTAAAAATTATTGCTTGTGATTTATTTATCCTTTATTATAACCTGATAGTTAGCATTTTAAACTAACTATTTTTTTTTGTAAAACTTGGCAAAGTTAAGTAATCTTTGCCCATTGGACAAAAAATGATTGCTTGTTTAAAAAATTATTGCATCAATATTATTTCTTCTTAATAATCATTCGCATAATATTCATTTACAAAAATTCGTGTTCAAAGCAATAATATAACTGAATATACTGAATAAACTTTAAATTCAATCGATGTACCCAACGATACACGATAAAACGTAAATATTTATTCGATTTAAGATATCGTTTCTTTAATAGACCAGCGCAGATTGAATTAATTTATTAAACTGTAACAATTATTTATCCAAATCATCGTTTCATTGTCGTTTAAGCAAATATTTAAATGCTCATTATTCTAATAATCACTTTAACCAAAAGCAATGCAATATTTTCATGTATACAAATCTATGTAGTGTATATTCATTAATTGTAAAAGTACGCTTCTCTCTCTCTCTCTCTCTCTCTCTCCCTCTTTTATCTGTGTGTGCGTGTGTGCGTGAGTACGCGCACGTGTATGGGCGGAATAAGATTTTATGTTAAATTACTCTCAATATATAATTCAGATACATTCTTTGTGAATTGTGTTATTTTTTATCGTCCTTAACGTCCTATACGTAGCATTTAAGATGAAAAGAGAAAAAGGGGACTTACTATTGCCGTAAATGACAAAAAAGTCAGGCACAGCGAAAACTACATGTTTATTAGACTCAATAGTGGGTCGTTCAAGCTTTTCTAAATCGTTTTTGTATTTTCGCCCATTGGACGTATGTAATTAATTGGATATTTTAAAGCTTCTAGTTATTTTCTTGTGCCCACAAACTATCGAATTATATTATTTTTTCATTCTTTTTATACATTTAATAACAAAGCATCGACTTATTAAGTAAAATTTAATAGAGACGATTTGTTTGAATTGTTGGTTTCTAAAAATTAATTAACTAATTTAATAAATCAAGCAATAACGAAATGAATAAAAACCAAATTATAAAACCAAATTAATTTACAACAGATTACATTTTACTTAAACAAAAATGGGATTTAATGAGTAAATAAAGATTGAATTATTTAAAATATTTAAAACGTTATAATTATTTAATATGCATGATGAAATAAAATATAAATAAAATTTTTAATTTTTAACAAATTTAATGTATTGAATTGTATTGAATGATTACATTAATTTAAATAATGTTGAATCGAAGCAATGGAAATTAAAAGAAAATGATGCAGTGTGCAACAAGCATTTATTCATTTGAAAATTGTAAGAACGTTTATTATGGTTAAATAACCATTCTAGAATTGTAATTACGGAAAAATGAGTAGTAGAAATAATTTGTCATACTTGCTCGACATTTACCATCAATTAAAATATCAGTTAAAGCAATATAATCCCTCTTATTCAATTTATTCGAAATGCAGGTCCAGATTCGTATAAAAGAATAATGTAAAAGTCACTTCAAATGATGTGATTTAAGTACTATAAATCTAAAGTAGGAAAAAGTAGAATTAAAAATAAACGATGGAAAAGTAGAAACATATCATCACTGACAGGTCGAACTTATTATATTACTAGACGAGTACGAGTGTGAGTAATGTTAATAAGAGTTTTAGTGAGATAAATGAAGTAAGATTTTCCTAAAGGAAATATACAAAATATAATCAAAGAAAATGTTTTAATAATATAACAGTCAAAAACAACTTTTCTTTATTACTAAACAACTATTGAATAATTAAAGATTAGTATTAGAAATCAATATTATAAATATAGTCACAGATGAAAAATACAAATAGATATAATACGAAGAAAAATAGATTTAAATTTTTTGAAAATTATTTATTCGGGCAACTGTCGATTCAAAGTAAATTGAACAAAATAAAAATTGTACAACATTATGTAAATAAACAAAACATAACAGAATTATTCCTTGTTTACTTAGAAATAAAAGGGATAAGGCATATAATGTAAACAAGAAAAACGAAAGTAATAAATGCGATTTTAATAGATTTTAATGCGAAGTTGCAAACAAAAAATTATATAAAACATTCGTTCAGATAAATAGCGATAAGGAAAAGTTTAGCTAAAGGAATTCAGTTTATAAACAATGTACTGTCTCATAGCAGAAAAATTTTACTTGAAGCAAAACGTAGCCGACAGATTTGCTTTTTTGATTTTTTTTCTAAAGCATGTTCTTCTATAAATGCTGCCGGAAGAAAATTGTAGCCAATTTTTTTTACAACTCTTACTACTACCCAGCCGTTCACCGGAAAACCATCCTTCTCCCCTTCCCACTCCACCTTACCAAAGCGTAACGGATTACAATGCGCACCTTAAGAAAGTCGAGGAAAATGGGACAGCAGGAGGTTATTTAGTCCATAACGAAAATCGACCTACCACGCGGTCACTCAAATTCCCTCACCAGTTCACAAACGTTTACTCAAAGGCGTGATAACGCGCCTTATTATCCCTACGCGCCCTGCATACTGAATATGGCAATGGACTGGGTAGTGACGCGTCGGCAGTTTTGACGGAAATCCAACAACTCACATTGTAATTTATGATGTTGGAACAAAACAAACATATTCTTATCGACCACGAACCCAATCCCATTCGAATAACTATTTTAAAATAAATTAGGCTCCCATGTCTATATTGATTGTAAGTATTTTCAGACAGACTCATATAAAATCTCTGATTCTACCTTTTCTTTACGATGCTTTATTTTTCGCGCTATTCTTACCGATCGAGATATATTTTTAAAAAATTTAAGCGAGTATTTCTTGTAACTTTTGTATTATTTATTAATATTGTCATTTAAATTAAACCTAAAGTACTGCTGATTCGTAGCAATTAAATTAGAAGTAATTAGACCGTAATTATTTAAATTACATATTTATCCATGTATGTTTAATACACATGTAATATATACATAGATATTTGGTAAATTAAATAATAACTTAATTTTTTTTATCTTAAGAATGACAACATGAACACACTGCATTTAATAGAAATATTTATTAAGAGTCATGCATATTTTCATAAATAAATAAATACTTTACTTTTCTGATATGTTAATTATTTGTTTACTTAACCATCGGCTATGTGTTTAGAAAGTACTTATTTCGGAAAAATGAGGCTTCCGATACCGCCCTCAAACCCAAAATCGAGCTAATCCCAGATTTTTCGACGAAAAACTGACTCCAATTTAATAGCATCCGAGCATTTTCCACTTACAATGAATAAGACCCAAACCTTCATCGAGACTGATACGCGGTATTTTTGTATATTCTTGAACAACAGAAGTCTTAAATAGAAGTTTTAGTGCTAAACAATGCTAATACAATATTATACTGCGCATCGATTTAAGATTTTTGGTATTTCCAAACGGTAACTAAAATATTGAATCGAGATCAAATCAGGTCTACATTTTTACTGTATAGGAAATAATAATATATAAGTAAAGTTTACATACTTCTTGTTTGACCTAATTAATAATAACGAATAAAATAAACTTAAATTAATTTAAAAATAAGATTATTTATTTTACGACTCTGTGGATTTCTCTTTTTCCTCATTTTTATGGGTATATACACTGACACGCTGTTATATCAATTTCGCATTTGTGCACATAAACATTCACAGTATAATATACATTTTAACATTTTCCATGAAGAGGATTTAACGCAGCTTATTGTGGAGTAAGTATTCTTCCGACTTCAGCCAATCGTCAAAGAGAGAAAGTCTGCTTTGTTTAGTAGAGAAACTAACTGATCCAAATCCTTTCTCTTCAACCTTTTTTCAAGGGGAAATAATTTAATAAAACGACAATTGAAGGTATTTCTAGCTTTCGTTGACTATTACTAACTAAATCTTGCACTCGATGAAATCTAACTTAAATATCAATGAATGTTGGCACGTGTGTTTACTATTTTCATGAT